GGTTGAAAGATCTCAAGCAGAGGGAGTTTGCTCGCAACGTCTCTTCAAGATCACGTAAAGATGAAAGGAAGCAGGAGAAGGCCCTGCGGCGCCTCCACGAGCTGGCTGAGCAGAGGAGGCAGCCTGAATGGTGAGTGGGGTGATCCCTGAGCACCCTCAGGGCACTCGTGTGTAAAGTCCTGCCTGGGGCTGCAGCCCTGGGCTGTGCTGCCGTTCTGGCTCCTCTAATCCCACACAGGTTCGGAGAGCAAACCACACCTCGTGCTGTGGTTTTGGTGGGAGTGAATTCACTGAAGCCATAGTCCAGAGCATCCCCAAATGGCTTTATCCAGCAGTTAGTTATTTTTATTAACAGATGATCATATAATGCTATTTTAATGTGTATTTTTTGGATACCAGAGTACTTGAAGTCATAGAATCCCAGGATGGTTTGGGTTGAAGGGACCTTAAAGTTCATCCAGTTCCAACCCCCTGCCACAGGCAGGGACACCTTCCACTAGAGCAGGTTGCTTCAAGCCCCTGTGTCCAATGTGGCCTTGAACACTGCCAGGGATGGGGCAGCCACAGCTTTGTGTAAAAGGCTTTTAAATTAGGCATGAATCCATCTGCAGGGGTGTACAAGTGGCAGTCAGCTGTTTCCTCTGTTTTAACTTGTTCATACAGCGCTCCTGGAAGCGGACCCATGTTCAGAACCACAACGGTGGCTGTGGATGAGGAAGGTGGAGATGATGGTGATGATTCTGCAGCCAACAGCAGCTCTTTCATCCAGTCGACTTCTGGCCAAGCTTCAGAGATGAGTATGGACAGAGGTTTCCTAAACACTGGACAAGTCGCTGGCACTGTTACACCAAGCCAAATGCCCATCCAGGGAGCACAGGCAATCAGCTTTGGCATCAAGAGTACTTTGGGAACTCCCCTGCAGAAGATAGGTGTGTCTTTTTCATTTGCAAAGAAAACTCCAGTAAAGCTTGAGACCATAGCTTCTGTTTTCAAGGACCATGTGGAAGAATCGAGCGCTGCAGATGGAGCAAAAGCTGATGAGAAAGGGTCCTCAGAGGCAGGGAGCCTGCAGAAACCTGGTGAGGGTGAAAGCACAAATAATTCTGATGGCAAGGCAGAGGAAGATGACCAACATGACAAAGACAGCGGGTCTCTAGCCACTACCTTATCGAAACTAAAAAAGATGAGACGAGAAGATGGACCAATGGCAGTTGAACCAGAATACTACCACTATATTCCCCCAGCCCATTGTAAAGTGAAGCCTAACTTTCAATTCCTGCTTTTCATGAAGTCTACCGAACAAATGGAAGCTGAAAATGTGAACAAAAAAGCCACCCATGAAGTTAAAAAGGGTGGTTCTCCAAAACCCAAACCCAACAAGCACCCAGAGAAGGCTGCTGAGAGCACGGGGCAGCAGAAGGAGCAGAGCACTACTGAAAGCACAGCTCAGCAGAGCAAAACTGAGCTAAAAGAAGTCCTGGAAAATGCGAGTGTGCAGGAGAGCAAACACCTAACAGAGAGCAACCTCCCTGAGCCAGACACTGCTAAAGAAGCCCCACAGCCTGCCTCAGGCTGTAAGAATGTCTCTGAAGGACCAAAGCATCCCACAGGACCTTTTTTCCCTGTCCTAAGTAAAGACGAGAGCACGACCCTCCAGTGGCCTTCAGAGCTTCTCATATTTACCAAAGCAGAACCATCGGTTTCGTACAGTTGTAACCCCCTGTATTTTGATTTCAAGCTCTCCCGCAATAAAGATGCTAAAGGCAAAGGGGCAGAGAAACCCAAGGAGCCAGGGGGGCTTTGTAAAGAAAGTGGTCAGAGCACAGAACTTGGTGAGATGAGCAAACCCAAGGAGGCAGAAAGCGTAGCCAACAGTTCTGCTCTGAAAATGGAAACCAAATCTCTGTCCAACTGTGGCTCCCAGAACAAGCTGGAGTCCTGCTTGGCGAGTGTTAGTAAGGGAGAGGTAGAGGAGAGTAGTAAAAGCGTAATGGGGAAGAGCAAATCTGGCAGGTCCCATAAACACAAAAAGAAAAAGAAGCACAAAAAGTCCAGCAAACACAGACGAAAACACAAGGAGGCGGCTGATGAGAAGGGCCGGAAAACTGACCTGGGGGAAGAGAAACCCAAGAAACGGCGAAGACACCGGCACAAAAAAGGCAAATCCTGTCTTTCGACTGAATCGGAATGGGCCCTGAAAGCAGAACTGCCCGAGGAGTGTGGGCACTGCCCGAGGAGAAAGCGCTGCTCCCAGGAGTCCCAGAGGAAGTCTCTGTCTGCAGAGGAGGGAAGCAGTGGTAAGAAAGAGGACAGTGGTAACTCCTGCCTGGAGCACTGCGGCAGGAAGCACAGGGCTGACCTGCAGCAGTTCCCTGCTCCGAGGCGGCGGTGTTTGGGTCCTGCCCCGGGCAGGGCTGCCCGCAGGAGCCGGCAGAGCAGCGGGGACTACGACAGCGAGGAGGGCTCCCCCGGGAAGCGCTGCCGGCAGAAGTCTCCCTCGCACTACAGCGATGACGATGACTCTGGCAGCGAGCGGTCCCGGAGCCGCTCCCGCTCAGGGCGCAGGCACTCCTCCCATGGGTCCTACTCCTCCAGCTCCGACGCCTCCTCGGACCACAGCCGCTACAGCCGCCGCAGGAGCTACTCGGACGACAGCTACAGCGATTACAGTGACCGGTCGAGGTGCCACTCAAAGCGGTCCCATGACTCGGAGGATGACTCTGACTACAACAGCTCGAGTCACAGATCCAAGCGGCACAAGTACTCTTCCTCTGACGATGACTACAGCTCGAGTCGGAGCAGGTCAAGGAGCCGGAGCAGGAGCACAACCCACCCTCGAGGCAGGG